AAAGGAGAATAATGATGATGATGATGATGATGCAGATGATGATGATGACATGGAGGGAGTTCTGATCAGCAACAGGAAAAGAGCCGGAAAGAGAGCCATTCCGATAGACTCCGACTCCTCATCAGAAGATATTGAGGCTGCACTCACACCCCGACCACTCAAAGGGATCATCATCAGTGAGCAGCGCTCCAAGAAACGCAATGAAGAGCCTGCATCATCACAGCCTAAGAAGAGACTAAGAAAGAAGAGTGCAGTGGAGGAGGAGCTAGCACTATACGATGACTGCGACACCTTTGTCACCATAGACCGAACCACGCCCCTAGGAGCAGGAGCTGACATTGTCAGTTCCCGGGTAGAAGTCGCAGCATCTGGTTCAACTGCGCATGCACAGCCATCTCCCATCCACTCTCCAGTCTCCCAACAGACTGGAGTTTCAATAACTCAAGGGGAGCTTACACCGACCTCACTGATTCCTTCCGAATCTGCTGAGAGACTTAGTGGTCAACAGCCCCGGACCACTACCCCCATTCGTTCTATCACATCGAGTCTAGGTGTCACCATTCCTACATTTTCACATTTTTCTAGGACACCTACACTATTCACTGCACATACAGGTGCACTCACCCTGAATGCAACGACTGGAGTGCAAACTATGATGGTCGGAAGTCCTGCTACGCCGACAATGCCTCGATCATTGAACGCAGGCCACACATCAGCTATCTTCACTGATGCTGTGACAACAGTTACAACCCCTGTAACTGGTGCCATTATCCCCGAAGACATCCTCGTATATCTGAACAGCTTTCTAGAGTCTACCATTAAGCCATGGGTGCATGAAGCAATAACCGCTAATGCACAAGACTCTGGAAGTACCCCAGTTGTTCAGAATATACCATCCAAACCCCAGACAACACAGCCCCCAACCATTTCCATACCTGTTTCCAAACCCTTAGTGTAATACCCGAGTTTAATATAAGAGGATTAATAGTACTACTCATACCAACAAGATGCATCTCCTTTTAAGGGAGCTCATCACCAAGAACTCCAAAGTTAAGCGTGCTTGAACGGGAGTAGTCTTGGGATGGGTGACCCCCTGGGAAGTTTCTCAGGGCGCGCACGAGTGAGGACAAAGTGCGCGTAAAAGGCTAGTGGCGGTTTGTGAGGACAGTACTATTGGTCCAGAGTAGGTCTGGAGTAACTACCTCGGGTCCTGCGGGGCCGGGGTGTTACTAGTGGTATCAGAGCAACCCCGCGACAGTGTGATGACCTGTTGGATATCGGGCGGGCACTTAGCGGGGGAAAAGATTCTGGGATTTGATAGAGATTTGAGATTGGTTTAAGGGCGCAACGAGGACGTTGCGATCCTAAGTGGGGGTGATTGTAATACCCGAGTTTAATATAAGAGGATTAATAGTACTACTCATACCAACAAGATGCATCTCCTTTTAAGGGAGCTCATTACCAAGAACTCCAAAGTTAAGCGTGCTTGCACGGGAGTAGTCTTGGGATGGGTGACCCCCTAGGAAGTTTCTCAGGGCGCGCACGAGTGAGGACAAAGTGCGCGTAAAAGGCTAGTGGCGGTTTGTGAGGACAGTACTATTGGTCCAGAGTAGGTCTGGAGTAACTACCTCGGGTCCTGCGGGGCCGGGGTGTTACACTTAGCCATAGAAAACCAACAACCATCCACATCAAGGGGAACCCAGGATACAGAACTAGTATTCTCCCCTACAACGACCAAACCCAACCTAACAACTGTACCCTTCGAGGATCTTGTAGCTGAGATCTACGACCGTATACTAGACGTGGAAGAAGGCAACTTCACCCCTTGATGGATAGTCTACCCGGGGGGTATCTAATCCGAGGGGTTATTGCGGAAATAACTAGAAAGAAGTCAGAGCAAATAGGAGGAGAGAGAGTCGATTTTATTAAATGAACTCAGCGTGTGTTGGGATGTCGATCGTGTCCATTACAAGGAGAAATAGGCTGCTATTTATAGCAGCAATAAATGCGATGAGGGGACACGTGTCAGTAATCCAACGGCCGAAGGGTCACATCAGCCTAGTGGTGCTGGCAGTGGTACGTCAACCGCATTGAATGCGGTTGGCGGATGTGACGTGGCATTAAATGCGGTGGTTGGCTGTCTCTAAAAGGAATCTTCGATGATTGAGCCTGTTCAGCCGAAGGCTCATTGTGTTAGCCGAGGGCTCCCTGGTGTGGCCGGGGGCTAGGTTCAGCCGAAGGCTTCTTGTGTAGCCGAGGGCTCATCGTGTTGCCGAAGGCTCCTCGTGTAGCCGAGGGCGTAAGAATGCCGAAGGCTCATGTTTTCGCCCGTTTTCTCCCAGCAGCTTCTTGTGCCAGAAAGGCTATCCTGTGAGTTCTGGAGCCTTCGGCCAAGGAGGCCGAAGGTATCCCAGTGTGTAGTCTGAGCTACTTTGAGGCTTGGGCCGATGTACTTGGGCCTGAGTTGTTTCCTGAGCCCAGTGGACTTGTGTAGGAGAAATAGGAGTCTATGGGCCGGGGGTTCCTGGGCCATATACTCCATCAGGAGTCCCTCACTCCTTTTGCCGAAAGGTACTTGAGGGAAAAGGAGTAGATGTGTTGCTTCTTCTGAAGACTTCATCATTTCGCTGAGTGCCTTTGCTGGGGAATTCGTCTTCTGCTGATCCCCGAAGGCTTCCCTCAGTCCTTCACATGTCGGGGGTTTTCTGAGGGTAGCATAACACCTATATGACTGCAGAAGGCTTTCCTCAGTCCCCCACATGTCGAGGGTTTTCTGGGGAAAGCATAAATGTATCCTGTTGTGATGAGGGCTGCTCCATTTCCGCAAGTGATTTGTGGGAACTTTTGATATTCTGCCTCTGCCGAAGGGTATATTGGAGCATGAACCCCGGGAGGTTTCTGCTCTGGTGCCCGGAGGCCACACGCGTCAATTGTAAATTTTTGCATGAGGGAATTTTTGTTTGTGTATGATTCCCGAGGGGTGTATCCCAGTCCCCCACTCCTTTAGGCCGAAGGCAAGTTCGGGCTGAAGGAGTTATGATGAGTTGATGATCTCCCGAGGGTTGGTAACATTGATAAGCCTGGAACTGCCACGGGCTCGAAGGCGTTCGGTGGAATTCGTTGCCTGAAGGCTGCGGTGAGTGAGTAACCGGGGGATATCATTCGGGGGCATCCCAGTGTTGCCGAAATATAGTCGTTGTAATACAGCCGTTGGGAGAGGAGCACACGTGGCATGCTCCCGTTGGTTGAAGGTGGGCGGGTGCCATCCATTGGTCGAACCGGCGGCCCGTAATGATGGCCTTTTCAAATCGAGGCCCAGTTCTCGAGGCTGAAAGCCTATAAATACCCCCAATCCGGAGTCATTTTCCTTGTGCGTTCATTGTGAAGCGAAGCTCTGCCCTTTTGTTTTCTAGAGAGAGAAAGTTTTATTTGATCAAACCCCAAGCTTCGAGGTCAGTTCTTTCACTGTTCTCCGACTTTTCCAGCATACTTTGCTTTATTGCCCTTAGATTAAGTGTTAGTGCCTCACTAGGAAATTCTTAGCCTCCCCCTTCTTTTTTACCTCTACTCTTCCGACACCGAAAGATGTCATCTGCAAGCGATTCCCAAAATCATTCGAGGGAGCCCTCGGTTGCAGTAGAGAGCACCTCTGACACTGAGTCACTAAGCGAGCAGTCTTCGACCCACAACGATCTTGCAGTGGCCGAGGAGGTACAAAGCAATCTCCGGGTGGAGTTAGAGGCTGAAGAGTTTGAGCAAGTTGCCGCGGACGAGGAAATGGCCCTCGCACTCCAAGTGGCTGAGGAAGAGGAGGAGAGGGAGCGGCAGGAGGTGACTGTTGCTGTCTTGCCCCTCCGAGGTTCAGGGGAAACGAGTACCTCCCGGCCTTTAGACCCAGAGCCCCTCAGTGTCGCCGTGGGCAAGAAAAAGAAAAAGACGAAGGCTACACCGAAAGGCAAGCAAACCGCCGTCGATTGCGGGAAGCCTGTTGGAATTCCCGAGGGGCATTCATGGCTGAATACTGCCGCCCTCGCGTTGAGATCGAAGGCTGATCGGGCAGAATGCTATGTTACGCAATTGCATGTCGGCCCCTCGGCGACTGTAATTGAACCGGGACCCGATGATCTCCTGTTGCGGGCTCCGGAGGGCTGTTTTGCGGTCCATGTGCTGTCGGTTGCCATGGGCCTCCGGTTCCCGCTTCACCCGTTCCTTCTCGAGTACCTTAGGTACGTGGGGTTAGCCCCCTGCCAGCTGACCCCCAACAGCCATTCTTACATAACTGGCTTCCTTCAGCTTTGCCGGGCTCGGGGGGTAACCGCGACTCTGGATTTGTTCTTCCAAAGCTTCAACCTGTGCCGAGGGGGCCACACCAACTCCGAGGGGTTCGCAAATCTGCAACAGCTCGCTCCCTGGAGGCTGTTTGATGATGTGCCCTCGTCTCACAAGGGATGGAAGGACCGTTTCTGCTACATTAAGATGGCGGAAAATCCGTTCCCGAGAGAGCTGCGCAATCACTTCCGGCGTCACCCGAAGGTGGGGAGTGCCGCGCTTCAGAAGGAGGGGAAGAAGATTGCTGCCCTGCTGCCGGGGGCCACGAAGCACGTGACTATTAAGGATTCTACTCTCCCCGGGGATTTGTTGGCTCTCGGCTTCCGGCGGTACCGTTTCTTGGGGGAAAAAGACGAGCAATACCCCGTTTTTGAAAGAGCCTTCGGCAGTATAGGAGGTAGTCTCCGAAGGGTCATCTTTTTGTACTTAGGATTTTCGTATTTCCCCATTTCCCTTCTTTTGTAGTTGACCCCTTCGGTCTGACTTTATTTGTGGTTTTGCAGGCGTTAGCATGGACGTTTCCAATTTCGCCGCCCTCAAGAAAAAACTGGCCAAGGAGCCAAAGAAGAAGAAAGAGACGGGGTTTCAAAAACCCGTCGATGAATTCTTCAAGAATGATGGGGCGTCTCAAGTCCCGGAGGGGGAGGGTCCCTCCAAAGCAGTTGATTCCGGTGCTGGTGCCGGGGGCTCCAAGGGTGAGGAGCTCAAGAGGAAGAACTCTGGGAAGGGCGTCGCTCCCCCGGAGAACAAGAAGCAGAAAAAGGGGGCCTCCGGGAGGAAGGATGCGCCCATAGTAGTCGAGGAGCAGCCTTCCTCGAATCCTCCTGCGGCCACCCCTCCTCGATCTCCTCCATCCCCCATAGACGAGGGAATCCGCCCGGCGGAGATCATCCAGTTCCCTGTCAAGTCGGGGACCTCAGTTATGCATGGCACCCTCCATCCTGTCGGCTTCATGAGGGGGGTCATGGCGCCGAAGGATAGGTCAGTGCTGGCCCGCCTCGGGGACGACATCCTCGATTACAAAGTCGCGAGCTACAGCACTATGGTGAGTTGTCTTCCCTTTTTATCTCCTTCAATTCTTCCTTTCTGATGATAGCCCCCGGTGAACCAATCTGATGCCATATTTTGTGTATGTGTGTTTATGTGCAGGCTGCCTTGGCTGCTTCCGAGCAGGCCCGAAGGGTTGAACAGCTGAGGATCGCCAAATGCCAGGCGGACGAGGCCCTGAAGAAGGCTGATGAGGAGAAGGTCACCCTTAGGCAGAGGGTTGCTGACGTGGAGGCTAGCCTTCGGCTGGAGAAGGAGGCCATGGAGCAGAGGCTAAAAGATGCCGAGGCTAAAGGGAAGGCTGCCGCTGAAGAAGCCGCCGCTGTTGCTGCCAAGGCTGCTGCCGAGGCCGCCGAGATAGAAAAGGCCGAGGCGGTGGCCGATGCTGGGAAGAAGGCAATCGAATCTTTCCTTGCCGAGGGCTGGGGCGGCGGCGGATCACGAAGGGTGGGTGACTTCCGTGGTGGAGCAGAAGGTAGACTCCTGGGTGAGAGGCCCCGGTGCTGAATGGCTAGCCCGGAAGGGTAAGGACTATTATGACGGTGGTGAGTTCTTCACCCAAAACCTCGTCTACCGGAGGTTAGCCAGGCACCTCAAGATAGAGCCGAAGAAATTTGACCCATCGGCATACGGCCTCCCGCCTCTGCAGCCTGATGTGAGGGTTCCCCTTCCCGAGGGAGAAGAGAGGCCAGATCTAGAAGATTCTGAGCTGATGGGCGAGGGCGGCAGCGAGGAAGCCGAAGATGATGCGGCCTCAAAGCCGAAGGAAGATGCTGCCCAAGAAGCAGAGGCTTAGAATTTTCCAGATGTAAACATTCGTAATAGTAGGCTTTGGCTTCGGCCCACTGTATTTGTAAACAAACATCTTCTGTACTTGTGTATTCCGGTGATGAATGTTTTGCCTTCGGGTCTCATTTTTTGTATGAATGAATGTGCCTCCATGTTTTGTCTGCCTTCGTTCCTTTTCCTTATGAATGAATGCCTTTCGTCCCTTTTGCGCTTGTGTTTCAATTTGCTGCCTCCGTGTATGAATGTATGCTTTTGTTTCCTTCCGTATGTTTGGCAGAGGGCAAAACTTTGTGGACTTAGAATATTTTCTAAGTAGAACCTGGCCACAGCCTTTGGCTGTACTGTAGATTCGCCGGGGGCTCATCATTGTGGACTTAGAAAATATTCTAAGTAAAAACTAGCTGCATCGCAGGCCCTCATTATAGTAGCGTGACTCTCGGCCGGGGGTCACCACCAAAGTTTAAGCAAGCCTTCGGCTTTAGGACTTAGAAAATTTTCCAAGATTGCCTTCGGTGGTAGAGCAAGATTGCCAGGGGGTTTGTAGTTGTTGACTTAGGAAATTTTCTGAGTAAGAACTTAGATCATGTCCTCGGTGACCAGGCCCTCGGTAGTGGCGAGCTTCCGACTGTAGTGTAGCTTTAGGTCATTGCCAAGTAGTTTGGGGGGCCGCCGGCCATGAGTCTGTAGGTGAAGAATTGTCCTCCCGAAGGGTCCACAATTGTGGACTTAGCCATTTTTCACAAACTTTTCATAGATGCTGTAGCGAATCCTTCGAGTGTGGGAACTGCCTGAGTCCCCGGTGCATATGGTTGCCGAGGGGTTCGAAATTATGGACTTAGTGAAATTGTGAGACTTTGTCTTCAACAGATCTAGTGAGTAGCCCCCGGTTTGACGAGTGCCTTCCGAAGGGTGCCAATATGGGGACTTAGAAATCTTTTCATCGTTGAATGAGCCTGGTGATCCTTCTTCCTTCGGTATGAGCCCTCTGGTTCGTGTAGATAATAGATTCAGGGGGAAGCCTTCGGTGGAATTCTTGTACTCCAAAGTTTTACGCAGTGAAGCCTTCGGCCTTGTGGCCAGATGACTTGTTTGCCAGATTTTCTTGTGAATTTGTAGGAGCCTTCGGGAATGTATATCCGAAGTGTTGAGCCTCCGGGGAGAACAGTATCCGGGGAGTTCCTTCCCCCCTACACATCTTTCCCTTTTTTTTTTTTTTTTTTTTTTTTTTTTTTTTTTTTAGATGGTGTAGGAGAGGCATCTAGAAACTTGGTTCCTAGGAAAGGCTTGGCCTATATGGGAGGCAACGGAACAAACCGTTGGCTCCCCCTTCGGGAATGACCTTCCGATATCCCGCAGGGTTTGAGGGTCGTTTCCTCGGCCCGAGACATCGTCTGTTGCCTGCTTCCCCTTGGGAGATAGCACGGAAAGCGCCTCGGTTTTGAAAGTCGTCCCCTCAGCCCGAGACATGGTCTGTTGCCTGCTTCCCCTTGGGGGATAGCGCGGGGAGCGTTTCGTTTGTGGAAGTCGAATCCTGGGCCCGGGACATGGTCCGTTGCCTGCCTCCCCTTGGGGGATGGCGCGGAAAGCGTTCCTGGGAAGGGTTTTATTTGCGTGTGGAACACAAATAGCCGGGGGCGCTTGGTGCCAGCCGGTTTTTTTTTTTTTTTTTTTTTTTTTTTTTTTTTTTTTTTAGATAGAGTATGTAAAAGTTTGAGAAAGCACTTGGTGTCTTCAAAGAGTGATGGGGGCGACCCATACACTTGGTACTTGGTACCTAGACTGATGTTCCCCCTGGTGGAGAGATGAGGGCTTGGCCACTCACGTGTAGGAGAGAAGGGGGCCTTGGGCCGTTGGTACAATATGTAGGTGATGAAGGCTTGGCCTTTTGATTACTTTTCAAAAACAGGTGGGGCCTTGGGCCATTGATCATTTACACTTGTTGAGGGTGAGGGCTTGGCCATTCATTGGTAAAACTTCACTAGGTGGTGTACATTCCAATGTCTAGGAATCTCCGTCCCATTAGGACGCTTTAACTTGTATGTCCCCGGTTTGATGATGGCTGAGATGATGTAGGGGCCCTCAAACTTGGGCGCTATCTTCCCTCCTTCGGTGGGTAGACTGGCCTCCCTTCGTCGGAGGACGTAATCTCCCACCTGGAACTCCCGGGAGCGGACCTTGGCGTCGATGTATCCTTTGACTTGTCTCCTATAGTTTTCAGCCCTGATGAAGGCTTGCTCTCGGCGTTCTGAGATGAGATGAAGGTCGAGGGCCATGTTGGCTTCGTTTGCCTCGGGCTCATATTGCTCAACCCTTCGGGTGGGAAGAGTCACTTCTGTGGGAGCCTTAGCCTCGAAGCCATAGCATAGGGAGAAGGGGGTCTCGCCTGTTGCACGCCGAGGGGTGGTGCGGTAGGCCCATAAGATGTTATGAAGCTCTTCTACCCAGCCTCCCCCCTCGGCTTCCAGCTTCTTCTTCAAGCCCTCTAGGAGGGTGCGGTTGGCGTTCTCCACTTGCCCGTTGCCCTGAGGGTAGGCAACGGAAGAGAATGTGTGCTTGATGCCCCAAGCTTCAAGGAGGGCACAGAAGGGGGCTGCCTCGAACTGAGTCCCGTTGTCGGAGATGATTTGTTGGGGGACGCCAAACCTTGTGAGAATGTTCTTGAGGACAAAGTGACGGCACCGGGCCTCCGTGATGCTGGCGAGGGGTTCGGCCTCTACCCACTTGGTGAAGTAGTCAATGGCCACAATGATATACCGGTTGTTGGAGGTACCCCTCGGCAGAGGGCCTACTAAGTCGATCCCCCATCTGGAGAAGGGTATAGCGGTGCTGATGGGGGCATAGTTGACCGCTGGTCTGCCGGGGGCCTTCTGAAAGTGTTGGCAAGCGGTGCACCTTCGGGCTAGATCAGCACAATCTCTAGCCATCGTGGGCCAGAAGTAGCCCTGAATTATGAGCCTTCGGGACATGGAGAAGGGTCCCTGGTGAGCTGAGCAAGTGCCACTGTGCACTTCCTCCATGGCGACTTCGGCCTCGTCCTGATGAAGGCACCGAAGGAGGGTGCCGTTGTAAGATCTCTTGTAAAGCCTCCCGTTTTCGATGGTGTAGCTGGGAGCCCTCAGCTTTGTTAATTTTGCGCGGGCCTCATCTTGGGGTAGTTGCCCCGTGGTGATGAAGGTGGCGATGTCGGAGATCCAATCCTCCGGTCTCAGGTTAATGTTCATAATGGGGCTTGCGTGGATGCTTGAGAGGCTGAGCTCCTCGATTCTTGCAATTTTTGAGAGGTGCTCGGGGGACTCATCTGAGAGTTTGGATAGAATGTCGGCCTCAGAGTTTTGAGCCCTCGGTATTTGGGTGAGGGAATGTGCCTCAAATACCTTAAGCAACTCCTTAGCCGCTTCTTTGTACTGTTTCATCCTCCCTTCTTTGGCTTCGTACTCTCCGGAAATTTGACCCACGACGAGTTTGGAGTCACACTTGACGTGGATCATCCTAGCCTTCAGATTCGCTGCCAGCCGAAGGCCGCAAAGGAGGGCTTCGTATTCGGCTTCATTGTTTGATACTTTGAAGGAGAAGCGGACGGCATAATAGGCGCGGAAGCCTTCGGGTGTGATCAGAACCACTCCTCCTCCGCATGCTTTGGTGGCCGAGGAGCCATCGGTATAGAGCGTCCACCACTCATCGAGGGGTGTCGAAGGCTCCTCGTCTGTTGTTGATCTTGCGGTGCATTCCGTTACGAAGTCTGCCAGGGCTTGGCCCTTAATGGCAGGCCTCGGACGGATATCTATGTTGTATTGACTGAGGAAGATGGCCCATTTTACCATCCGGGAGGAGCTAGTGGGACTCCTCATGAGGGCGCCGAGGGGTTGATGAGTGAGCACTTGGACCGGATGAGCTTGAAAGTAGTGGCCAAGCTTCTTGACGGTCCAAACGATGGCTAGCACCGTCTTCTCGACGGGAGAATACCTGAGTTCGGCCTCCCGGAGGGTTTTGCTGACGTAGAAGATGGCATGTTGGATGCCGTCTTCCTCTCGGATTAGTACTGAGCTGATAGCCGCAGGGCTAACACCGAGATATAAGTATAAGGTCTCCCCCACCTTCGGTTTGGAGAGCACTGGGGGAGAGGAGAGGTACTTCTTGAGTTCGTCGAAGGCCTCTTGACACTCAGATGTCCATTGGAAGCCAGCTGTCTTCCTCATGATTTGGAAGAAGGGGAGGGCCCTCTCGGCTGACTTAGAGAGGAATCGGTTGAGGGCCGCCAGGCGACCCGTCAGCCGTTGAACTTCTTTGACGTTGCGTGGAGGCTCCATGTTGATGATGGCCTGGATCTTCTCGGGGTTGGCCTCAATACCCCTTCGGCTGACCATGTAGCCCAAGAATTTTCCTCCCTGCACGCCGAAGGTGCATTTCTTCGGATTTAGCCGGAGGTTGAATTTTCGCATGATGGCAAAAATCTCCCGGAGGTCGTCGGCGTGAGTGCTTGCCTTCTTACTTTTGACGATCATATCGTCAACGTAAGCCTCCATGGTGCGTCCTAGGACAGCTTGAAAGACCCTAGCCACCATGCGTGTGTAGGTGGCGCCTGAATTTTTGAGGCCGAAGGCCATCACAAGATAGCAGAAGATGCCTTCGGGTGTCAT